ATCATTCTGTCAGTTTCTCTCTTCGCATATTTATATCGTGCTCCGATATTAGACGAACTGTGTAGCACGTTGTCTAGAAATCCCTCAAACAAGGCAGGAGACACGTAGAAATAATCGAAGAATCTTCTGAGATCACTTTTCAAGTTCTTTAAATAATACACGAAACGCTGCCTCGCTTTCGTTCCTTGCGTTGCTGCTGGAGCATTTTATCTCTTCTTTAAAAATAACTTTTTTACAGTTTTTGATAGTCAAAAAGATAAAGCTTCAATCCTTTTGTTTCAAAAGCATGCGTTTCGCGCACCAAGATATCCTTAACCAACTAAATAAATGATAAAGACTCAACTACCGCGTTACACATGAGGAACTCAGAAGCCAATCAGTATAAGTCACTTTTTATTGAAAAGAACTTGTCAAATTCTTGGACGGTAGTCATTATAATGTAACCACTATAATGGAGTTTTAACGATCGATTGGAAATATGTTTGTCACACAAGTCATTTTTTTATGGAAAAGGACTCACGCTAATTGGCTTCTGAGCTCCCCATGTATATACTGTGTCGCACAAGCATTTTGTATTTGAACGCCAATCACGTATAACGATATACGAGTTTTCATGTGAAAGAGGTGTGATTTCCAGAGGTAGGAGAGCACGTTGGAAATACCAATTCGGGGATTATTGTGTCGTCGATTCTTGTTTATGCAACAAGATGAAATGACCGATCGGATCCGAAATCTCTTAATCGTGTTACTTAGGTACTTCTTCTTCTTTTCTCTCTTCTCTTTCTTCTTCTTCCTCCTCCTCTTTGGTTTGTCGTTGCGCCTCGATTGTCCGCGTATCGGCTGGTTCCGGCGGTTGGTACCGGTTCGCGATCCGTTTTACAAAACGTCATGGAAGTAACAGAGGTGAACGCGTTTCCTCGTGTTCGCGACCGAGCCGCCGAACTATTTCTTTCCGTCGCTTTTCCTTCTTTTCATAGCAACGTGTATACGAAAGACGATGCTTCAGCATTAACTTATTTTTAGTACGGCACGCGGACTTATAGAAAGTTGGAAGGGGAGAGTAAAGAAGGAAGTGGAGAAGGAGAAGAAACAGCGAGAAGAGGAGGAAGAGAAGGCTCGATGGAGAAGGAGAAGTAAAAAGAGGAAGAGAAGAAAGAGGAGTGGAAGGTGCGAGAGGAGGAGGAAATAGCGAGTTGCATTAACAGTGAACGATGCCAATCGAAATGCGTGCCAAATGTCATACGATCGACCTTGATTGACGATTATCATAGATCATCGTCTAATTGGCGCGTCTTGTCGATTTACGTTACGCGATTGAAATGATTCAGATTATTAAAACGAAACGCCAACGTTATAACACGATACGAAAAGGCACGACGTATACGTTCCATTGCCTGACTGACCATTCTTCTGTTCCTCTGTGAACATTGTCGTTCTTATCTCGATGACTTTGATCGCTGACTTGTCGCTGCAGAAGCCGGGGTTATTAAGTATATCGATCGAGCGAAAAAGAAGAAAAAGGAAGAGTGTGAACGTGAGGACGTTCGCAAACACAAACGATGAGTCAGTGTTTGATCA